ACGCGTGCCATTATATGTGTAAGCGAGGAGTTGTGTGAGTAATGCAGTGCATCCACTTAGAGAAAATATTTCCTGTTTTCAATTAATCAGTATTATTCTGTGGGTTAAAGATGAAGACTCTTTCATGATTAAAGCCTTTAGTACCATCTTTATTTTTGGACTTTCTAGCTGCGTTACTCTTTCTATGACTGTGTAACTATCGCTCAACCTTGAGATCCAACTATTAATAGGACTGCTGATAAATTTCTTATAAACACACAATCATTTAGCATCATGTCCATGTTCTGTGATAAATGTCGTAAGAACTGGATGAAATCGTTTAATATCAAGATTTGTGTGTATCCTTTACAGTGGATTGCAACAACATTGGCATGAGCATCATAATTCAGTCAGAATTTAACATTCCAAACTAAGATGTCAAACTATATTAACGCTTAGTTTACTTTTTTATAATTATCCGAAACATTCACCAGCAGGGGCAGCATTTTCCTGGTGGGTGTGTTTAGTCTTTGATATGACTTTATAGCTATCCTCATTTCCTTAAAAGACTATGGCAGGTTTGTAAATAATAATAATAAGTTGTGTTGTTGTTGTGTTCTTATTCATGTGAGGTTCTATTTATCTGATCCTGTTAGAACAAGATCATTTTTATTGTGTCATGATAATATAAAACCTTAGAATTGAAAGAGGATGTGCTTTCCTCTCACTGTGAAAGTATGTGATGTAGCTACATGTTGTCTTTCACACTCACTATCAAAACACAATCAGGCATTAGTCGTAGCCGTGTATGTGTAACTTCTCCTGCCACTCTTCCAGGATGCCGAGGTGCCTGATGTCATGTGCCGCTGGTTGCGGGGCCAGCGCATCCGCAGCATCAAGACTGTGGCGTGGATGATAACTCTAAGTGACGCACTCCATAACTTCATAGATGGTCTGGCTATCGGCGCTTCCTTCACAGTGTCTGTCTTGACAGGGTTCAGTACATCCACTGCCATCGTGTGTGAGGAGTTTCCCCATGAGCTGGGTGAGTGATATGTAGCGGAAAATCAGTTTCAGCCCCCCTCATGAGTCATTCCAAACTCTGCTGTGCAGCCAAACTTTGCATTGAATGTGCCTGTACATCCTGTATCTATGGGCATGTAGAGACAAGCTGCAGAAGTGCCCCAAGAATACATGTTCTTAGAAATAATGGAAAATATGACTTGCAACTAAAAAACTTCAGAAAAGACATGAGTGGAAGGAACATGTATATATTTTACAGTTAGAGTTCAAACTTGCTTTCTGGGTATAAAAATGAAAATAAATCTTTTCATGAAATATACTGTAGCTCGCTTTAAAGGGGGAAATGTGACTAACAGACAAGACAGAAAGAAAAAATGTTGCTTTAAGTATAATGTTCAATCTGCTTGTGTAAAAGAGCTATTTTGTCCTCTCAAGGTGACTTCGTCATCCTGCTGAATGCTGGAATGAGCATCCCGCAAGCCATTTTCTTCAACCTGTTGTCAGCCGTGTCGTGTTACATCGGCCTTGTGTTTGGCATCCTGCTCGGCAGCAACTTTGCCCCCAATGCGATCTTTGCCATTGCAGGAGGAATGTTTCTGTATATCGCTCTGGCGGACATGGTGAGTTGAGTTCTCTTGATGGCAGATACAAAAAAAAGCAGAACCAACATTTATTTAGTCAGTCACTGGACTTCCCCAACATGTTCGAGGCTTCCACTCTATTAAATTACTGATGGGTTTCATGGTTGTCTGCATAGCTTTTTATGATCATTCAGCTCCATTGTCTTTGTTTTACAATGCACAACTTTTCAGCTTAAAATCGCTCGTGTTGAGTTTATCAGTGTTATTCCTAGAAAAAGTTGTGTGCTATCTGTGTGAAGCCTCTGATACCTGTAAACTCTGTGTACACTCCTCCTGTTCAAACATGCTGTGACCAAAATGGAGCATTAAGACAAACATTTCATGTGAATTAAAAGTAGAGAACATATTGGACCTATCTTTAGCAGATACTGGAGAGACTGTCAGCTGTGGATGGTTTGATAAAAAATTCAGTATGCCAGCTTATATAATATGATAATATATGTCAGTTACACTCTGTGACCACTATGTTAGGTACAGCTATTCAGCTGCTCGTTAACCTTGATTCATTTAGGATCAAAAAAGAACTGCTGAAGTTTAAACCCAGCATCTGAATGGTGATTTAAATTACTTTCAATGGTATGAGTTTTGCAGAAGGTGCTGATTTATTGGGATTTTCCTCCACAACCATCTCTAACATTTAAAATAAAATACCTTGTTGATATCAGAAATCAGAGGAGAATGCTAAGAGTTCTTCAAGTTGATAATAAGGTGGCAGTAATTCAAAACCAAGGTATGCAGAAGAGCATCTCTGATAGTCTTTAGAAACAAAAGGCAAAATGAAAGAACAGGAAACTGAGCCTGCAGTTTGTGTGGGCTCACCAATATTGGACAATAGAAAGGAAAATCTGGTTGGAAGAGCATGTCAACAACTTGAAACAACTATTAACAACTTGAAAACAGTGAGTTTGTGCACATATACAACTTGAAAACATGGGAAGGTGAGGGAGAACATTTCTTGACTCCTTAGTGAGCATTGTTTAAACATGGCAGACTACTATTACCAACCATCTCCACCCCTTTATGACCATAAAGGTTAATGCACCATGTCCCAAAGCTCAGATCTTCTGAAACTAGTTTCTTGATCAAAACAGTGAGTTCTCGGTACTCAAATGTGCTCCACAGTCAGAGCTCAATGTAACAGAACACTTTTAGGATGTGGTGGAATGGGAGATTCACATTATTGATGTACAGCTGTCCAGCTACAACTGAGTGATACCGTTATGTCAATATGCACCATAATTTATGAGGAATGTTTCCAGCAACTTGTTGAATCTATGCCAGTTTTTCTGAAGGAAAAAGACGCTGAACTGGTACTAACACCTAATACCTAATAAAGTGGCCAGCAAATATAGCAGTATCCTGGTAATATTCAAGTGTAGGTTTAAAATTAAGTCAAAAATACATATTTAATTAAAAGGTTCAGAAATGTGTATGGCACCAAGTAACCTTATATTTTCCTGTATTTCTGTAAGCTGTCAGTGCCTTTTCTACCTTTTAAGTTTGGTTAATTAAGGCCAGTGAAATAAAAATATTCACTGCAGTATTTGGTATTATAAGTACAATGTGTTGTGTGAAGAACTTTGTTTTTGTTCCTGTTTTGTTAATCAACTCAAACCTTCAGCTGTTTCATGTAAAGGAACGTATTTAAGAAGGGCAATTTATTTAGTTTTGGTTTTCATGGAATTTGTTAACAATGAGAAAACTTCCCTCGTTTCATATGAACCACATGAGAACAATATAACTGTAGCCATACAAACCTGAATATTTACACTTCTTCTTTTTATATTGTTGCTTCCCAAATCTAAACCTCAACCTTGCTAATTGCTATTCCTCATTTCAGTTCCCAGAGATGGACAGCATAGCACGGGAACAAAAAAAAACTTCTACGAAGATCGTTTTCTTCCTGATCCAAAATGCAGGGCTGCTAACCGGGTTTACCATCATACTTCTGATCACCATGTTCGCAGGAGAGATCAACCTGGGCTAGAGGACACAGAGACACAAGCTGGAAATAAAAATAGATTCGAGCTGCTTCTGTTTCTGCTCACAGCTCACAGAGCTGGACTGCAAAGTAAATTTAAAGTGAAATCCTGATGTTAAAAGTTAAAACAATACTTTTCTACCTTTGTACAATCAATATAGTGGAAGTGTTTACTCCATAAAAAGGGAATACCTTTACATCGTCATGTATGAAATCTAGATGTATTTTAAGGAGACAATAAATTATTTTTTCAGCCTTCATGTATTGTGAACTATTTTATTTTTTAACCTTTTCAGTGCTACACTGTAAACCAAATTTTTTGTTTCCCTTTGTGGCAGGAAAATGAAAATGTTTGACCTCTCTGACCTTTTCCAGGTTGTGTTGCTGCGGCTGTATTTCAAACGTGCAGATTTCTTTTCGCTGCCCTTTCTCGTTTAGGGATTTAACTGAATGATAATTACACCAAGACTGAACTGTGATTGATATAGCAACTCTTTTAATACAGCAATTAATGTAGCACAATATAACCTAGTTATTATGCTCCACTGGACAAAGACATATAACAAAAAAGCTTATCAGAATATGTTTTCTTACTTTTTTATGAGCTCTCTTCATTATCCTCAGGGTGACCTGACAATGGAGTGATTAGGACACATAAGACATGGGAGCAAATGCCTTCAGTGGTGGTTCCTGTTTAGCTGGGCTGTCTGCTCCCCTATCCATCCTCTAAATACCCTCATTTCCCATCTCTCTTCACTGTCTTTGTTAAGTTAAAGCATTCAAATATTTTCAGAAATGAAATAAAAAGTGATTATCGTAATATGTGTGACACTTTAAAAAATAAATTACTTTGCAATGAAAATTTTTAAAAATGGTTTCTATATACAGACTATGAAATCATGAAATGTACAAAAAAATGCTGATTACATAAGTATATGTGTATCTGAGGATATAAACAGTGATTGAGCAGAAGAATATTGCATATTAGGGCTATACATAGTTGGTGTGTGAGGACATCTTAATTTTTTAACTCATGAAGGTGAGTCTTCAAAACAATACTCTTAAGCAGTAACATGTATATGCAGTGTACTTCTGAATCTGCAATACAACTTACACATCACAGAGAAGGCTAGGGATACTATTTATCCTTGTAATGTAGTGAAGTTGTTTGGAAACGTAGCAGGAAACCTGGCAGTGCACCACTGCAAAACTGTGATATTACAATGATATTGCAAGTAAAGATTTAAACTTTACCCAACATTATCTCCATATCTGGAACAATATCTCCAAAAAGGCTGTAGCAACAGCCTAAAACAGTAACAGTAAAAATACATTAATACATTAAATGCATTATTATCAACCCTAAAACACTTTCACGCCAGCTTTCAAAGTTCTTCCGACGATCCCTGAATGTAGCACGGTAGACATGAGGAAGTAGTTTAGGAGCCAAGCGAAATGAAGGGCTTTTGACTTGGGGAAACTGAATTTACACTCCACTTTCAAGGACTGGCATAAAACAGGTAAGTCGCATTTATTTTGTGGTTTTTGTGAGTCATAAAATATCAGAGCAAACTGCAGTCCAATCCTCAGCGCCTTTGTGAGGTTAGCACTGATGCTAGCTTCTGTTGGCTAATCTGGATTGTTTATTCACCTTTTCTGAAAGGACACGACGAGTTTAATATGTGAACGTGTCCCGTCTAATATCTGGTCAAATAGCGGACAGTTAGCATTACTAAAGCTTATTTCGGTTTTGGGCTAACTCATGTGATGTGCCTTCAGGTGTGTTTAACGGACATTTCGATCAGAGATGAAACTGTTTAATTTTTAAAATAGCTTCCAACTCCAGCCACACCGTGTTTGTTTATTTATGTTTACACTGTTTATTCTGGTGCATACTTTACGAGTCATTTAAGCCAGCAGGGTTTTCTTAATCTTTGTGATGGTCGACATTTTCGCTTATATTTGGAAATAGACTACAGTCAACAGGATTTATAAAGGGGTTGCATATGAAATAAAGAAGAAACCTGTTCTGCAAGTGTCTTAATGACTCTGTTATTGTACTCACATTACAATAAATCAAGCCATCCGATGGAGGATTTCATTATTATTAACATTTATTTCGAGAATAAAGTCAAAATGTGGAGATTGCATTTGTTGTTTCAAGTGCCACGGCTGTTTTACCCTGTACAATATGCCTTGTGCAGAAGAGTTGGTGAAACAACGTGATCAGCTGTGTCTTAAAAAAGAGGTAACGGAACAGGGCATTTGCATCACGGGTGTGCGACCGATAAATCTGCAACAGCTGTGTGATGCTGTCGTGTCAACATGGACCAAAGAAGAAGAATTAAGGGAATTCTAAAGGCAAATCGGTGTCCCGATACCAGAAAGGTGTACCCAATAAAGCAGATGTTGAGTGTATTATCTCACTGAAATATATTGGTGTCTGTATTTTTAGGTTATAATTTCTGCAAAGACAAAATATATTTTTCTGGAAATTGAATTGCATTCAAGTGTTGATGATTAGATGTCTTTACTACCACTAATTACTACAGAAAATGATTGTTTTTGCCTGAGATAAAGAAAGCTTTTGTCAGAGTGAAAAAAGTGATTTTGTATTGCAGATTTGTTTGATCCCTGCTTGTATTTTGACATCTCTCATGTCTTTACCTCTGTGATTGAAAAGCTGAACGAGCCATGGACAACATTCAGATCCGGAAGTTTAATGATGAAGATGCTGATGTTGTGAAGGAGCTCTTCACCTTGGGGATGAGTGAGCACGTGCCTTCATCCTTTGTGCACGTTCTGAAGCAGCCGCTGACCCAGATGGTCCTCATGTGCATGTTCTGCGCTCTCCTGACCAGCTCTAAGTCCTTCTTGCTTCCCGTCTTGGCCGTCACCTTCTGCCTGGCTGGAGCCCGGCAGATGGTCGTCTACATGTTCAACAAATACATCGAATCCACGCTCAGAAAGGACCTCAACAACATCAGTGAGACCTACCTGAAAGGGAAAGACTCATGCTTTTGGGTGGCTGATAGCGATGGCCGGGTAGTGGGTTCGGTGGCTTGTCTTCCTGCTGAGGATGCTCCTGGTTGCTTGACGCTGAAACGCATGTCGGTCCGCCGCAGTCACCGCGGGATGGGCATCGCAAAGGCTCTGTGTCGTACAGTGGCTGAATTTACTCGCGACAGGGGTTACGGAGCTGTAATACTGCAGACTTCTGTGGTGCAGACAGATGCTCAGAAGCTGTACGAGCACATGGGCTACAAAAAGATAAGAGAGTTTGTCGTTCCAGAGTTTCTTGCCAAAATCCTAAACTTCACCCTGCTTGAGTACAGACTTGATTTACAGCAGGACTGAAGAATGGACTGAATCAGATATAAACACTGACAACCATTTCAGGGCAGCAGTACAACACATTTATCTAGTTCCTCCACTCTGTGTTTTCCCAGCATGTATTTGATTGAGGCAGAAACACTCTGGACAGGTCGGGCATGGGGGGTTGAGATGGGGGCGTGTTTACTCAACACTTGTAGAGCTGGTCCAGTTGTGTTTTCTCCTGTTTCAAACACACACAAGATCGTTACTGTTTTATTTGTGTGTTGTTTAGTTGGTTCCACAAAATGTTAAAGTAGAAAAACTCAGCTTTTGTTAAGGGTTTTGTGTTGATTTGTCATTTTATTTAACTTCTACATGATTTTAACAATAAATGTATACATCTGAACACAAAAGCTGCGATCACTTTTGCAGTGTTATTTCAAATCTGTTGTTTTTGCTCAGTCTGTGATGCATTGATCCAATACAGGAGATCACTAGAGGCCCTTTTAGTAACTTGGCCACAACAATCTCTGGTGTCATTAAAATATTCATAATAGTTTGGTTATAAATTTCTCTCACTGTACTTTTCTGTGTTCATAATTCTATTAATTTTGACAAGATCTTTAACATCACCAGATGTTAGCTAGGTCCAAACAATGAGAGAGCCTCCACTGTTTTTAACAGATGGCTCTACACTCTCACTGTTGCATGTCTCTCCTTACCTCCTCCATATATGTATTGAAACATTTTCTAATTTGGAATAATCTCTCCATCATCTCCTTCGACCTGTTACCACTGATTTTCAGTCCAGTTCTTATATCATTTGCCATGCCTTATCCTTGACAGCCACTTTTCCACTGGTCAGGTACAAAGACTGGACTGAAAATACAAGAAAAAGCAGTCAATGCCGACAGAAAACTTTAAAAGAACTTTAGAAACCTTGAAGAAGTATTCCTCAAGGCCCTCTTAAAAATGTTAAGATAGTCTGGCTGCTTGGAGTAAAATATAGATAAGTGAGGGGTAGCTTAGGACTTTTGCACAGTGGTGTGTAATGTTACAATGCATGCACTACTTCTGTTTTATCCAGAAATACACTCATATATGTACAAATCACTTAATACCTCTATGCATGGAAAACTACCTGAAGTCATCTTTATTTCTATGGTCCTCTGAGCAGAGTGTTGAGACTATAGATTGTACTGCTGGAGGCCCAAAAAGGAAGCTGACAGCTGTTCAGCCCAACAGTGTCTACTGTGGGCCAGGGGGAGGTTGTGGCTGCAGGGTGAAGAACCCAAACAGATATTTTGGGTCACTGCTTTGGTTTGAGTTGCTATATGCCTCGCTGTAAATGACTACCACCTCAATGATGCTCACCTGTGTCAGGTTGTTGTTTTATTCCTTAAAAAAATAATTAAAGCTGTGAAGAGTATTTTTGTTTCATTTAAAATTTATACTTAAATTGTGATATAAGGTACTTTTGTACTTGCCTGTAATCAGGAAATAAGTACAAAATAATGCCACGATAAATAGCACAAAAATGACAGAAAAAAGCAAAATTTAAATTAAAAAGTTATTTCATTTTTTATTGATATAGCCTCAGTCTGTATGTGTTTAAACCGTGTCATCTTTGTGCTGCTGAGCTCGTTTAAATACTTGAGTTTTCATCGGGCCCCTGAGTTTGTGTCAGGCGGGCTGAGTCAGGCAGCAGCTCGGCCACCTCGAAGCGGATGTGTCCGGCCAGACCTCCATGGATGGATGTAGCCTGTCAGGGACGAAGCGGAGCAGTTAGCAGGATATTTTGACGTAAGCAGGTAGGTATTAGTGCATATTTATCATCTGACCGTCGGGGTTTTAACTCAGAATACACACACACACACCTGTCTTAAACTATAAGCTTGTGGGGTTTCTTAATATTATCTCTTGGATATTATTATTTTTATTCATTTATTGAAATTGCCAAACGAAGCTAACGAACGTTGCTGCTAGCAGCTGATCAGGGAGTGTCTGCCTGACAGCTGACAGCACCAAATGTGAGCGTTAAAATTAAGGTTTAGTATTAGTTACAGCTGTTAAAATTAAATGTTCTCACATTAAAACGACTAATAATGAAGAACATGGCAAGTGTAATGAGCCTTGCTTGCTATTAAGGCGGCTGTGTCGATATCCAATCCTAAAGGGATGATTATTCTCGGTTAAATTAAATAATCTTCTAATCCAGATTGTTTTTCTTAATTTGTCATCCAGTTTGGTTAATCTGTCGGGAGAAAATGTCCTGTAGGGCTTCAGCCACACCCATGCTGTGATTTATTGTGATTACCAGCAGAAGCAATACGCAGAAATGTATATAGTTATTATTTTAATGTGTAGTAGTATCTTAATTCTTTCCCAGTAATACATGTATAAATAAGATATCATTGTATGTCCCGATTATTGCAGCAGAATTTCAGCCTTCAGTAGATTTTATACACACTAGATGGCACCAGATTACATATGTAAACATATGGTACAGACTATAGACATGCACACTATAAATACTTTATACCAGTTTATACTAAGGGTGCTTTGTGTTTTATGCACTCAAATCCTAATTGAATGCATACAGGGTTGAAGTGCTGGCTTTACACAACTATTCAACTGATGACCTACTTTTCTTTTATGCATTGTTCAGTGATGAGACCATCCTGAATATCATTGACATGCAAGCATTACAGGCTGTAATTCCCCCAGTATTCTCCAGCAATTAGACACATTTAAAAACAGTGTTTGAAAAAAAGGTTTGCATGGTCACATCTGCTGTTTTAATCTCACTTCAAATAAACTTGAGTGACACTGCTCAACTACACTGATTACAATTTAAATGTATAATTCAGTGACTCAAGTAAGTCCATTAATTATGTTTGTTATTCACATAAAGATTAATAAACCAAGCTAAAAATAATCACAGTAACCTCAATATTTCCTGACCTAAAATGAACAAATTATTTATTCAATTTATTTCAGTTAGTTTCTTTTCTTTAACGTAGTGTCTCCTTTTAAAAATGGTCACCTCTAAAACTCTACCTGGATGATGCTGCAGTTTCTTTTTCAGTCGACCGTCAGCTGCTGTGTCCATATTGGCAAAATTTGTGTCATATAAGCCAAGCTTGTGCTAAATAAAAGCTGCCTTGGAGCAATAGTTATGCTCGTTTTTACCTTGTTGAGTGATATTGATTTGTTCCTCCCGGACAGACAGACAGAGGTGCAGTGTGGCTGTAATTTTCCTGCTTAAAATCCCAGAGTGTCACCTCTGTTCCTGCGTCCTTCCCGTTCGCTGGTCTGAATGGGCTCAAAGCAGCAGCACCGCCTCTTTCTCAGTTTCTCTTCCATCATCTTCTATAAGGAGGACGAGCTTTGAATTAGACTGTCTGCTAGTCTTTAGAGAGATAAGAGGCTCCCCTTCTCTATTTCTTCCCACAAATGCCCAACACCCCCGTTTTTTGGTTCTGCCTCCATCATTTGCATAAAAGGGTGCAAAGACACTGCAGAGGTTTGTTTTGTCCCTAAACATCCCCAGCTATCCCCCAGCTGAAATATTAGTCTGTGGATTGCATATATGGCTGGTTTTTGTTGTTATCCTGGCCCATGTTTGTTGCTGAAGCTTAATATGTCCTGCATCATTTTGAAAGGAAAAATATTCTCCTCTTGAAGGCTTGGGTGCCAGCGTTTCTCATCAGCCTCTAAGCTGAAAGCTTTTACACAGAAACCCTGCAGCGCTTGCTTCCATTGCAAAGAGATGACAGCAGAGAAACAGAGATGACTGGGAGTTGAAAAGCTCCAGCCATGCAGTTAGCAGATAAAAGAACTAATCCTTGCTCTGTGATGGGCCACAGTTTTAGGCTGGACCCTAATGCAACCTCTGCTGCTTTTTGCTTACAATGTGCTGTGTTATGGAGCATCACCTGGACCTTTTGTGTTCAACCACAATGAAACAGCAGTTGATTAACTTGAACTGGTTCACCTCCCACTGGATGAAAAATGCTTAGCACCTGTTTTTTTCTTGACTTTCCTCCCCTCCCAGTTCTCACTCTAGCAGATGAAAGAAAGTGGAATGCTTTGTAATAAAAAAAGAACACACACAAAAAAACCCTGGAAATCCATTATAGGCTGCAGTGCAGCGAGAAATTAGGTTTAGTGTAATTTCAGCCTTTTCTTTTGATGTATTTACGACCCCGTATGTTTTTTCTTTTTCCATTCCCTGACTGATTAATCATAACTTGAGTCAATATTATTAATTTTTACCTTAAAAGTCTGTGTTGCCGAGGCTGAAAGTAGCCTTTGATCAGTGCACTCATGATAAGAAGTAAAAAACAAGCCTGAACCTCTGCATCATCCTAAACAATGAGGGCATGCACGGGAATAATAGCTGTCTATTTTGAGAAGCATGTCTGCAGGCTTTAGGACCCAGCAGCACTGTCTGGGCCTAAACCACCCTCCCTCCTGCAGAAGCCAGCTTAGACACAGCACAGTGCAGTGCTGCCCCTCAGCTGATGCGCTCACAGCAGACCCAGCTTGGCTTTATTTTTCCCCGTCTTCATATCGCTGCTGTTCGCCTTTGGCACCTTTAATCAGAGGGCTGGATTGGCAGCATCCTCCCCAGCAGAGACTTCCTGATATGGTGAAAAAAGCTCCCGCAGACTTTGGCTTGTGGGCAGCAGAGAGGCGGGACGGTGGAGTTTTGGGAGCTCGGGCTGTACTGTGAGCAATAGGAGAGGGATGGTGTGATTCTGCGAGGAGACAGAGAGGAAGAGGTAGACGCTCCGGCAGCATCACTAAACCCCACTCCCCTCTCCTCGACCCCCTTCTGTCTGGCTGACGCTCTCCCCAATAACACGCTCTTTCAGTCAAGACTGGCAGTTTTGAGTGGGGGGCTCAGCAACCAGAAATCATGTCACACACTAGGAGGAATACGTACACCCGGGTGAGTGGATATATATATACGCTCAAGGTAGTTGAATGAACGGTCTGAGTGGCGTTTAAGTTTGTCCTGCTCTGCGGGCCATTGTTTCTGTAAGGTTTCTTTGATTTGTTTCACTCTGTCATCCCCTCCTTGTCAATTCCTGCCTTCAATAGGAGGGTTTCTAATCCATTTCACTGCTGCATTCCTCTGTCTGAATTGTCGCCTCTTTGTTCGGCTCAAATGCCCCTCTGGGGCAATATCAACATTGCTGCTGCGATGTTGAGAGCTCATACCTTTGCTATGACTTGACTCTGACGACCTGTGAACTAGTAGGTAGGTAGTTGGCTCGCTTTTTGTTATCAGCTAAACACACAATCCATGAGCCCAGAAGACTTCCTGTTTGTCATCCGTGTCTGAGTCAGGCGACTTTGCTGTCAATGGGAGGGATGACATCAGTGTGTGATCTTACATGTCAGCTTACTAAGCAAAAATAGCTCCTAGACTGTATGGATTTTAACTTATATGGAGGCGGTCTGTGGCAAGCACGCATATGACAGCTTTTCTTGCTTAAATACAACATCGTGCTGACAATCAGAAAGCTACATGCGTGTTTTTCATCTTATTTCAGCTTTAAAGTCAGTGCGAGCCTTGCGTGTGTTGTAAGAGTAGAGTGGCACTAAATAATTCAGCACGCCCTCCTTGGGTCTTCTGCCTCCAGCACATGGCAAACGGTTCTAAGCAATGACTGAACATCGGTGAATACATCATTACAGACTCGTTAGCTTTCAAGTTTTCATTATGACTTCAAGTATAATCCCCTGATGGATGTGTGATTGCAGATTGTTGAGCTGTGTTGCCCTGTGAAGCCATGTAGACTGAAGTGATTTGACGCTTTAAGTAAAAGCTTCGAGGACTCAGCTGTGACGTAGAAACTGTGGAAGCATCATTTATTGCTCATGACTAGTTAAAATGTCTCGCTCCATGTTGGTCATGAATTATAAGAGGAGTTAATTCGACTTTAAACAATTAAGGGGATCCAGGCTTTGAATAAAAGCTGCCACTTAAGTGAATATCAGCAGTGACTGTCTGACTTTGTGTGAGGAGCTATGGTTGTTTATAATAAAGATACATGTATGTAACTTTCATCCAGTGTGAGGTGAGTGCCTTTAAATCATTGAAACACCAACTTTATACTTAAATATGTTTTTCAAGCCAGGATTTTATGACCATTAAAATTCTTGGAGTGATTGTGCAAAGCGCTCCTTACTTTACAGCATTCCAATGTATACTTTGCAAAGTTTCAGTGACCTTACATTAGGGTACTGATTGTCTAAGACCTTTAGGCATGTGGTTTAACCAGATTTTATGTTTTAATGTTTTCATGAATACTGAAACTCAAGAATAATGCACAATGTAGTGGAAGCTTCATGCTTTATGTGGAGCAGATGATCAGATTAGATTTTGAAGACCTAAAAGCTAACAAGTTCAAACTTATACCAAATATGTAGTACGGTAAGCCACATGTTTGAATAAAGGGGTTTCCTTGAATGCATGAAATTATAATCCAGTTAACAAAATGTGTGTCTTGGTCCATAAATCACATCAACTGTTTTTGAAGCTTTTGCTATCTGAAGAACAAATGGCAGTCCAGTGTACTTGTGTTGATTTCTTTTGAAGAGAGTAGACACCTGTTCATAATACGTTTTGCCTTTATTGAGGACCTTCACTGTAGACGCCACTTTAATCACCATGCAGGCCAGAGAGGACATTAACTGAGGCTCACTAAAACAGGACTGGAAAACTTGTTCAGCTGGTGTTAACTGTTTGGACATTTTTGGAGCGAGTGTGTCACAGAAAACAAGAAGTAAAGTCAAATGTTTGAGGTTTATGTTTAGAACTAGAATGACCATAATGTACATTTGTGTTCAGAAATTTACATCGACTCATTGTGGACATACATGTCACAGGGCTTTGAATTATTTCTTTAAATTGTTCTTTTTGCAGAGTGGAATAATTGCACAGCATACATCTTCATTGACTTTAAAAGCAAGAACTGGGAACACAAGTTTAAATTTATTTTGGACTTTCTCTATTCCACACAGGGCAAAAAAAGTTACAACCACCTCCAGTTTGGTTAAATGTCCCTTGGCAGGTTGCACCTTGACCAGGTGCTTTGGCTGGATATTTGACAACATTTCTTGGAAAAATTGGTAGAGTTCATTTACATTTTAAACTGGTTTATTGTCTTCCTTTTGGGAAGGCTGTTCCAGAAACTTAATGTCAGCCTGCTTTTTTTAAATTCCCAACCAGTTTTGATGTGTGTTTGAGATGATTGTCCTGTTAGAATACTGTGTTCAAGTTTCAACCGTAGCTGTTGATTTGAGGTGAAGTTGAAGGATTTGGAGGTAGTCCTCTTCCTTCATTGTTCCATTAACTTTTTTCAGTGTACCAGTACCACTGTCAGCAGAACAGCCCCAGAGCATGATGCTACAGTTGGTACAGTGTACTTAGGTTTGAAAACCTCACCTTTACTCTTTCAAACATATCTTTTGTCGTGACCAAATAGTGCTGTCTTTGTTCTGTCTGACCAAAAAACCTTTCTCCAGAATTAGTTTGATTTATTAATGTGGGCAGCTACAAATTTAAATCAAGCTTAAAGGTGTTGATTTTACACAGGCCCAATGTGTAGTGGATTTGAAGCAGAGGTTTCTTTCTTGGTCGGCACAAAAGATGGCTCTTAGTCCATTGCAACGTGAAACTGGCTTCACTGTGGACAGTGACGCTGTCATGTTGTGCTGTGTGGAGGGCAGGAGATTGGACCCAAATGCAGGACTCGGAAAAGGTTAAACTAAAGTGCAGCATTTATTGCTGGAAGAACTCTTCATGAATACAGGGCAAAAAAACAAGAACTCAAAGCACTAAGCATTACCTTGGAAACTGGAAAGTTAAGCTTTGAACGGAGAACTAGAAAACTATCGTAACACAGCGGTGAAGACACAACAGGGAAAGGGTACGACGTGACAACAAGCTGGGGATGACAGGGGTAATCAAGAAACAGGAGACAGTAGGGAAACACAGCTGGGACTAATTCTGCAGGATAAGACAAGGGAAGCAACACAGAATACAGACACAGACTTTCAAAGTAAAACAGGAAGCACAACAACTGAACTTACAAACTCAGAGACCCGATACTGACACTGTACAGAGGGAACTTAGACAGGAGATGTGGGACCAGGGCAGGCACCGAGACACAGACTAGACACTAAACAGAGGGAGCACAGAAATCAAACCTAAGAACTAGCAAATTTTAATAAGAATTAATCAGAAACATAAGCAACTCTTAATCAAAACAAAAACACTGAGTCAGCAGTCCCAGGACCATGACAGATGCTTGGTGGTTCCTGTAGTTTTCAGCTCATGGCAGGCTTGAGCCTTGGTGGTTCCTGGGTTGATCCTAACCAATTTTCCCACAACTGATGATAACAGTTTAGGTCTTTTTCCAGACAAAGGCAGAGTGGTGACTCATCCAAATAACATCGGGATCATCAGGTCAAGCAATTGTACTCATTCTTCGATCTTCACTGAGTTTGTTCGACTTTAATACTGTGCCTATGTGACTATTGGGCAGTCCAGTGAGATGCAGACAAAGCAAAACTATCAGTTCCTGTCAGTCATGATCGCTAACGACAAGTTAATAGGGCTTGGCATTATCAAGTTAAAAGACACAGACCTCTTTTTAGAACCTTCATCACCACTTGTTACCAGATTTGAGCGAGTTTATGTATAAATATTAAAGCTGTATACTTTTCAACATGCGTAGATTACAGTTATTCCAAAATAAACTAGATAAAAAAACTTGTGCACGCAACTCTTGTTTGTTAAAGTCAGTAAAGATGTACGATGTACTATCATTCCACTCTGAAAATGAACACTTCTAAGAAATCATTAAAAGCCCCAAATTAACATAACAGCACAGCTTCTTGCAGCAGTAGTGACAGCAGAGGATACAGTGTCTGTCGAAGAGTCTTCATGCTATAGGTGTTTTTCTGTTTTTGGTTAAACTTTCACAAAGGTTTTTGTGTAGTTTAACCTTTAAGTTAAACAGCAACACATAGACAGTGTGTGTTTAGCTGAAGCAGAGAATGATATCTGCTCCTCTCTGCACTGTTCTGCTGAGTCACCATCAATTCTAGGACATTGCTCTGTAAATTGGGTTATGCAGCATTATTTGATTACAAAATATTGTAGCTGAAGCCAATTTGAAAACGTTCTTGTGTGCATTTTGTTCTTCACACATCCAAATTGCATTGTGACGTCTCAGGTGTTTGTTGCCATGGAATTACGATAAAATTTGCCTCCTCAGCTAGAAAGAAAGAGCAGTGCTGTTCAAGCGTGAACTGACATTTAGAGAGAGCAGCATCAGGATGAGGCCTGGTCCTCTGTCCCTCAAAGGTGAGCCACTGTGTACCGGGATGGTCTCATAAAAGCACCCGCTGTTGTATCACCCAACCAACCCTAATCCCTGAGCTAATGGGTCTTTGCTACAGTCACACTAGGGAAAACAGTGATTGGAAACAGCAACTTGACCAAAAATTACTATTAACATGTGCAATCATCTTGCAATATTGTTGCCTGTTAAGGTCGGCGACCACGCCTGTGACCACTCGCGGTCAGTTACTCTCTTCTAAGGGTCTTAGGTGCATCAGGAGTGCAAGAAAATAACAATAAGACTGAGTCAGTTTGCTGTCAGTCTGCTATCAGATTAAATTGGGTTAAGTTGGTAGTTACATGCAGTTGTTTGTTATAATGTGATGATTAACTGTGATAAATTGGGGAAAATCACAATTTCAAATTCATTTGAACTTTTTATTTTATTTTTATTTTTTAAAGAAATTCAGACGTTCCCTCACAAATTGTGACAGAGTTTCTGCATGACTATGATTTAACTGCAAAAGGACACAAGTGTTTGGCGACCTTACTTTTATATAGAAATATAACCAGAACACAACCAGTTCAGTCATCTTGACAATCTATTGAATGTGAAACATCAATTTTTTGCAAACCTTTGCCAACACAATGTGGAAAATGGTTCTTTCAAAGTAAACTAAACAGTAGCATTTAACATAAATACATTAACCTAAATCTAATGCTAAACATTAAATACCTCTTAATACCACTCAAACTAAATCACCTGTGATGTTGAGCTGATTATAAATGCCTGTTTTAACAGCCCAGGTCTGTGTTTTCTTTCCTCATCCCACCCAGACCACCAGCAGTGGCAGCAGCAGGATGAGCTCAGACGGGGGCGGGCGGCCCGTCAAAGTGGGCTCCCTGGTGGAGGTGATTGGGAAGGGGCAGCGTGGCACAGTGGCCTACATCGGGACCACCCTCTTTGCCTCTGGAAAATGGGTGGGGGTCATCCTGGATGAAGCCAAGGGCAAAAATGACGGCACCGTACAGGGAAAGCGTTACTTCACCTGTGAAGAGAATCATGGGATTTTTGTGAGACAGTCACAGGTAAATACAGGTGTATTAGGTAAATGTCTTTACCCCAGTTATTTTTTTTAACACATAAGAGATTTTGTTTTCCTTTTATGTGGCACAGTGTGCTGTGTGTGTGGGCTGATATTTTCCTTTATTGTCTTCTGTGGTGCTTTTGTTTTTTGTTGCTTCGGGGTCTTTGGTTATTCTTTTTGATCTGCAATAGCTCTGAGTTTCTCTCCCTCAAAATTCTGCATAATGTGACCATAATTCAACTATAGTGACCTGGAGGAGATGATAGAATAAACTAAAATTGCAATAGTTTAACTTTTTTGCTACTTATGTTGTTTGTTTTTTTGTAAATTAAAACTTCTTTCTTGTGAAACAGTCCATCTATATTCTTAACTGCTGAACCTGATCAGAGTTGCAGAGGGTTTAATTCAGTTCCATTTTATTTACATAGAACTAATGCACAGCAACAGTTCAAGCTCAGAGAAACGGGTATAGGTGTACAATATGCTCTAAATAAAGAGATCTTCACTCTGTCCTTACATGCATTAAATATTCATTAATGGAAGCTTGGTTATGCTTACGTCATCCAGCTGTGCCTGTAAATAACTTTGTCATCCATCATTTGATCTATAATAACATGTTCAAGGTATTTGACCTTATTGCAGACAGCGTTAATATCTGAGTATTCAAATTCTGGAAATACTAGGTGTTTATCTCCTTAGTTCTATAACCATGTGTATATGTTCCACACCATGAGGAGAACATATGTGAAGGAGCTGCTGGCGACCAGCGGTACGAGGACACAAGATCATCTGCATACATAATATGGTTCAGAATATCTAGAATATTATCAACCATGCACACAGTTTTACAGGCACGCAAAATCTTCAACCAAAATATTAAAAAGAACCGGGTTAAAATTCTTCCTCCTCTAACACTATTAGGGCTGAAATGCTGTCTCTTCATTTTACTTGTAACGTCTGTTTGGAATAGAAATAAATCAGAACTCTCACAATGTATTCAGGCATCCCTTTATGCCTCAGCTCAGCAAAATAACTCTGTTTTACACAATCAAAGGTTTGCAGGCATAGAAATAAAACAAATACAAACTGATGACTTCTTGTGTTTATAATTTCCTTCAAAATATACATACACAGACCAGTTCCATGTTTGGGTTTAAATTTAAAAAATGTATTTATCCTGCAAAAGTCTTTCTGAAATATTATACTGGCTAAGGTTATGGACCTGTGATTATTACGATGGCTTACTTTACCTGTTTTATCCTTCATAAGTAGCGCTAAGAGAATAGGCCACACTGAGTCTGGCAATAAATAAATAAATCTGTTTGGGAGGAGCAAGTTTACAGTGAGGTTTATGTTAATCATATGACTGTAATCTACATCTCTAGGGTTGCCAACCTAATGTGGAACTGGACTGTTACTACTAAAAAGAAAAGGTCAAAAGATTTATTGAAATAAGTGATTTAGTTTTGGAATAAATGGTACCTGCAGGATATCTCTTATGTGTGGGCACATAATAATAAACAGTCAGTGTAATGTAACTTGCAGTATTGTCACATCTGTCTTTGTGACTGTCAGTTTAATTCTATTTGTTTTAGTGCTGGGACAATTTTACGGTAGCTTATTATGATCAAATTACACAAAGTTGTTGCAGTCATCAAATCAGAACGAGATGTCTACATTGCTGAATCCAAACACATCAATCACTCTTTGGCTGCTCGTCAAATCCATCCACTTCAGGGCTAAAAAATCATTACCAATTAATGTGATGGTGGTTGTACTTAAATGTTAGCAGAGAACAGTTTATACTTTGTGTGTTCTGTTACAGTTACCAGTAACTGTTAAAGCTTTTTACCTTTTGACTGTGCTGAAAAAAAGTGATACGAATTTAATGCTAAAAAGAAACATCAAACCTATGTAGAATTACACGTTTATGCATAAGATTCAGCTTTACTGTAGATTAGCAGTTGTGTCACTAATCCTCTTCAGCGTGTCTCCTGCTTGGCTTAAAAGGCTCGCTTGTGGCTCCCCTTTTGCGATATGCCTCTTCTTCTCTGTCACCTCTTTCATTTAACAGCAGCACTCACAGTTGTGTTTTTGGAAGACATGACTAAACGTCTCTCTCCCGCTGTCTCAGATCCAGCTGGTAGATGATGGGGCAGACACAACCTCTCCTGAGACACCTGAGCCCGGCACTGGCAAGGTTCCCAAACGAGGTGAGAACGCACACACACATCCAGATGGTCATATTTGCAGGTCGTCTTTAGTATTCTGCTGGTACTGCTTTATCAGTAAAATTAAAAAAAAAGCCCAAACACAGTAAAATCCAGTCTATCCTGTCCTTATAGAGCCTGATAGTAAGTGTGCATGCCATATTTGAAACCAATAAGCAGGGTTTATTCTCACCTGCTCTCCTGCTGTAGTTTAGATAGACAGCTGAAGATCTAAGATATAAAAGCACTTTGGTACATTTAGTATCTTATTACAGGGATGCTGCCTGGTTTTACTTATGTGATGAGTGAATAACAAGTAAAAATTGTGGATTTGAATCCCACGTACGGTAAGTTAGACACCAGCAGATGTCAAAATCTTTATCGGTGGTTGTTTTAAAGTGCTTTATAAATAAAGGTGATGATCGTGCCACAGTTTAAACAATAGCTGTTCTCTTTATTTAAGAGTACTTTGCTATATCTTGAGCCACCCCTCATATCTTTGTATTTGTCTTCTAAGGAGCCCGACTTTTTTGCAAACCTTTTGAGCAGTAGTTCTCCAAACTTCATTTCTCTGGCTGTTTTCAGAGGAATGTTTTTATATATTTATTTTTTTAAAGTCACGTAACACTGACCCGTAAATTGCTCAAGCATAAAAAAGGCACTTAACTTGTGTCTATGTCTCTACGCATTACAGATAACTTGGCACAGAACAAACTTTAAATTCCCATTTTATGCATGTTGTTACTAACAGCCTGTCACAAGAACATGTAATGTGCTCCACTTCTTGAATCTATATAAAATGTTAAAGATAACATAGTTTAACAGGCATAAAATTGATTTTTTTTTGCACAAATAAGGTGATTTCGAAAGACTTATTAGCTGAAAACTTGGTGTGTAGCATGTCCTTAGAAAAATTAGGAAACTGGATAAATGAAGGACAAAAGAAGTGGCAGGTCTAAAAAACATAAAACGATCTACAGCAGATTAACATTATGAGGAAATATGTTATCATGTCATGTCTTATCAAGTGAGGGACTTATGAATGTGGATCCCAATGTGGATTTGAGATCTTAACACACATATATGTGGATAACACATTATTTTCTCCCCACTAAACTCGTGATGTTTTAGTGGTAAACACTTTTTTTGTGGGATTTTTGATGGACATCTGGGCCATGAAAAGGCAGATTAAATGAGACTGGACAGTTGATTCAGATGTAACCTGGCAACAAGACACTTTTTCATTTAAAGCAGTGACGCGAAGAAAAGGCCTTGAAACGCTGAGTGCTTCTGTAAATGCTGCTATGCACCAAAATTCAAAGGGAAAGATGAGCAGTAAGTGTAGCTGACAGGTATAAGTAATAACATTCAAAAGGCTCCAGTCTATTTAGGTGAGCTACTTTTTTTTACACCCCATAAATATATTTAAAAAATGTCTGTCTCTTGTTCTGGTACCTTTTTCAGTGAGTTTTATATCCACTCTGGCTTTACCGTTATCCATTCAATGTTATTGAATTCTTATAACATGCCTTCCCAAGTCTTCCCATGTTACATCTTCATATCTTCAAATATATTCAGCCACTGTGGGTTCCAACTTTACAGTTTTCTCTTGTTTTGCCTGTTGTTGCTAATTTGCGGCAAGGCACATTGTACACATTGTAATTTTAGCTCTGCCTTATTGCCAATATTTTCTTATTTTTAAACATGAAGGGCCTCCAAGACACAAATGAAATCAATCAGCCAACTGAAAACAAGAAAATATCGGCATTGGAACATCCGGTTCTGTCGCCCTTTCATAATAATCTCTGACACGCAAGTTTGTAAACCACAATCACATTTCTATTAGTTTTATTTTGTGTGAGTGGAAGAAAGAGACATTATTCAGATTATTACTATTACACAAATCTTCCAGGATGCAGATTTTTGTCTCTCTTACCTGCTGCTGCAGCCATTATGTGAGTTAGGGCCTTTAATTTGGAACTCTGCCAGCCTGAAAGCCAGAAAGAAAAGTTATTGTCTTACGATCTGGCTTTTGTCTGAAAGTAAATGGGGCTCTGAAAGTGACGGTGAGATCACCAGCATGCAAATAACACTTTCCCTCAATAACTTGAGTAGGGAAAAAAGGGCATGGAGAAGTGAATTTTAAATAAGGGTGCATACAGGTTTCAACAGCTGCCAGTCAGGTTTGACCATCTGGTGAATGAACAATAAATTATGTTGACTCTGTTTGCGCCATAGCCTGCTGTGGGACTTTTATAACTCTTAAAGATTTTTATCTTAATGTTCTGGGAATGTGTTTCTTCTTTATCTCGTCAGAAATCCTGGAGTCAGCCAAGTCTGCTAAACTGGTGAGTCAGATAACGCTGCACTGTGACGCAAAGTTTGCAGGAAAGCCGAGGCAAACGTGCCGCCTGACACCTGAATACACACACACCCACACTGCACGTACACACATTCATGCATACAGACTCCCACCTGCACACACACACACACACACTCACACATAGACGTACTAAAGTAAGTGCTATGTGTTGGTGTTTATTGTTTGGCGATTTGCACTCTGCAGGGAGATTCATATGTGAGATATTTAATTTATTTCTGACGGCTGCTGTTTTGTTAGGTTTTGTTAGGATCAGGTGTTTGGGGAAAGTGCCTGCAGTAGATTAACATTTAATTTGGCTTCATCATAGCATGGCTGGGAATTTAAAAGGTGATTCCTACATGAAACTAGTGTAACATAACACTGTGATGTGGTAATTAGTTTTAATTTACAATAAAAAAATAGAGTAATGGGATTATTAAACAATATGGAATATTATATGAGGCTCTTGCATATTTACATCTGTAAATGTTTCCATTTAATTCATCTTAATGCAATTACAGTTTAATCTGAGTTTACCAAATTCAGAAATGTGCTAAACCAAATTGTAGCTCTAGAGCTGAATGAGTTCTCTCTGTCCAGTAGAGGGCGCCGTTTACTCACGTAAGTCCAGTGTTACTCTGCATGTTTGGTAGACACTAAGAAAAATGTAGAAAGAATCCAGCACATCAGAGCCATGACTCAGGAGTAAAAAAGCACTGATCTAACTAATAATTTATTTAGTGTGCTTGACTTTTGCCTTCACGTCAAACTGACACTTAAATCCATTGCAGTAATTTTTCATAGGAATTGTTATATGTTTTAATAGAAATCTGGTGCTGAAGAGAAGTATACTGGTTAAATTTACCTTAAACCTGCAGTCTGTTAATATGGTGTGAGTTCACTTTTGATGAAAAGAGCAAAAGCAAACATGGTTTATGGATGTGACTATAGTGATGTATGGATATCTGGATTTAAAGGAATTTTGAGAAGTTTTGGGTTTGAATTAAACTTTAAAGTTGTACACATCAAGGAAAAAAAAATCTCTTTGCTGTTAAAGGTTAATCCACTGACAGTCCTGGATTCAAATGTCAGCATTTTGAGAGAATCTTTGCACAGGGAAGAACCTGTAATGATAAGTTCACTCTGTCAAGTGGAAACCAGAACGGAGGCATTTGATTTAAAAACTATATTCCAAATTAGTCACATTTAAATGACTTTTTTTCTATGACTAGATATGTTGTTTTATTTATGCAAATTGTACAGTCATTGTAAAAAGAAAGTTAACTGTAAGGTTTCATGTATGAGGACATAATGAAAATAATCTGGTCCTTAGTAAGTGATAAAGTGAAAACAGTCCCTTCAGGTTTTTGTTGCTGTTGGTGGTTTTACAAGGTACTGAATCATGGGGTGTGCTTCTGATTTTTCACTCAGTTTTTGTTAAATATATTACAACTTGTACTGTGTCCTGTTTATTGTTCATCTCAGGTTGTGTTGATCTAATTTTAATACCTGGTAATGACCAGATAATCTTTTATGTCCTAATATGTAAAACCTTACCCTTGAAAGAAGTAGTACTTCATGTTTACATATACTGTATTTGTAGGATCTCATTGTTTCCATTTTTATTGCTTGTGTCATAGAAAATGGAAGAATAATTTTTTTTGTTGACCAGCCATGGGAGAATGGCTCAAATTATTTTAATAATAGGCAATGAAAATATTTTTACACGAAAGTGTCGTTTAATGTGTTTTTAATGTGGAGAAAATGAACAAAATGAGAATGAAGAAGTGAGTATGAAGAGATTTGTGTTTGTGAAAGTTATTGAGGTCCAACACACAGGTCCAAACCACCACAGTTCCCATCACCTCCGGCATGCTGCTGACAAACTCCTGATCTTTAACCTTCACCCTCCCTCCCTCCTCCTTCCTTTCCTCGTCTCCTTACCTCCTTTGACCGACGCAGCGAGGAGTGAAACCCAAAAAGGTGCTGCATGTTTCTCTAACCTCGGTACAGTGGTAATGTTATGATGATGACCGTAGTAACCGTGGTAACCGTGGCTCTGAATGGCCTCGCTGCTGCATGGCAACAGAGCCTCACCCCTCATTTTACCCATGACTCCTCGCAGCCATCTCTGGTCTCTGTACTGAAGCGCTCTGTGTTTGTATGAATGAAAGCTGTGTCCCATCACCTCACCGCCCTCTCTGCTCTCTGTTCGGTGCAGCTCTGTCCAACATTGTCTGCTTGGTCTTCTGCTTTCTGTGCACATTCAAACATGCTAAGTTTGCTAAGTGTCCAAAGGTTTTTCAGAGGCTCTGTGAACGTGCAGTGGTTCCTGCATGGAACCATTGTTTTTTAACAATAATGGTTACCACTTACCACCTACTGCCTCTGCAAGGTTGCATCTATAAAAGTAAAATGACACACACGAGCTAACAAAAAGGACAAAAAGCAGTCCATCATTATCATGTAACTATCTTAGACTTCTGACCAGGGATGTCAAACAGATTTTACATTATGCACCACATACAGCCCTTTTTTTGGATGGGCCAGAGTGGTGAAAATCCTCTTTGTGTCGATGTAAAGAAGTTTAACTGCACATTTAATCTCCGCAATATCAAATTAAGAAAAAGAAGTATGATTTTAACAGTATGTCTCAGGTTTTCTACATGATAAAGAAATCTGTCAACACAACTGTTACGATCTCCCCCCATCCATTAAAGCCATGGTCTGCTGTTTGGTTTGCATGGGAGGGGAGGGTTACCTGTGTCTTACAGGCTGTAAAAGGTGTAGAAGTTGTGGCAGCATGTTACCCACACTGTCCTGTAATTGTAAAGCGCAATGTTTTTGTTAATTCACAGACACACTTTTAAAAAAAATGTATAGTAGACAATGAAAAAACAGGAAATTGTCTTACTTAACTGTTTTTCTATTGGTTAATTACTTTGGTGTTGAATGAATGGCCATGGGGAGGTCTTTGTTTAGTAGGAAATGTTGTAAAAAATACTTTCAATAATGTATATCCTTCGTCACATTCTCCAAAGACCGGCCAGATTTGAGTCTTTGCCAGGCCGTTTCTGGATCTTATGTTCTACACCTTAACTTTGGACTTTTTGATTGGCAATCGATATTTTTTGCAGCAGATTAATTGCATGAAATAAAAATAACTGTAAAGATCAGGACATGTTTTGGGGTTCATGGGTTTTGGTCCTGCCCTCTCATTCACTCCTCTGTCACTTTTGGGATATTTCTGCTCAGTCTAGATACTAAGTTGTATATTCACGCATTTTTGATAACATTAACATATCTTGCAACCTATTATGGAAGTTAACACTTTTATATTAAACCCTGAAGTCTCTGTTTTTGTAAATGAGATGGATTAGTTCGGTTGTTGTTGAAAAGTCCAGTGATCCAGCCTTTGATTCTTGAATGAAAGCCTTACTAAATCACTTTAATTTATTACTAACTAAAGCATTAGTATTAAGAGAACAAACTAAATTAAACCAGTCTTTGGTGTGACCGTCACCAAGTTTCCAAGGTTGTTTTAAGCATCTTAGAGAACTGCAGTTCTTCTGTCTTTTCATGTAATCCTACACTGACTGCATGATGCTGACTTCACTGCTCTGTGAGGGCTGGACCATCTGTTGCACCACTCCCTATTACTCTTGTTAATAAAGGTCTTTATTAAAGACAGGGTGGTGTGTACATTATCCTGTTACACAATAATTTTGAGACCAGCCACAAAGTTAGAAAATATAATTTCCTTATAATATTGCATTTGTTCCCACACGTCTATCATGAGATCCAAGCTGGCTGTCCGCTGCTCTTTGTCATTCCTGGCTGACTCATACATGCAGGCGTTCCTTGAAAATGTCAGAATGCGACTGAGGTGAAATGAGCTGCCCTCCTGCCTGCAGTAACCTGCAGAGTATAGATTTCCTGTCAGCTCGGTTCTTCTTTATCGTCTCCTGGTCTGCATCTCCTCCTTGGCAAGCTGACTTTGAACATCAGGAGGGAACTTTAAAGCAGGAGGATCAAATGTTCAGTCACAGAGCCGGTGAAACTGAGGAAGAGTAGGAAATGTTAGACAAGACCAAAATGGAAACTCAGCGAAGGAAAAGCAAAGTAAAATGCTTTTGTACTGCTGTTCTGAAGCTTGACCCATAAGCCATTATTTTTCTCAGCTAAGGGTTTGGGCTTATTTATGCTTTCTGGACAGTAATTTTATCTCCTTTCGTTTCGTTGAAGCTGCATTGCAGTGACCTCGGAGGCAGCGATCCTCCCTCTGTGTGCTGGGAAAGCAGGAACCTGATACATCTCCACCCATCTCCGCATCCACTCTGTCTGTCGGCCGCTCTCACTCCATCGCTCTCAGAGTAGCACTTAGTCTGTGTGCTGGAGAGAATTTGAGTGGATTATGAAAAGATATGTTTAATATTTGAACAGGACAGTTTTCTCTAAGCTGCTCTGTAATAGATACTCATAAGCTGTTTTTCTTTCTGCCTCCGCTGCCTGACGTCCTGTTGCTTGTTTTGTTTTTTTCTCTCCACAATCAGATTCCTAATACTCTTAAACATCGCCCGTTTACTAAAACCTCATTGGACATTTTCTCCCCATGTTATTTTTGCCCATGACGTGAAAGTATTCGAGGTTTAAAACTCACAACTAATCAGAGTATCTTATACTTTGTGGATTAATCCTCTTAGATATCCCTCTCTCTTCCTGCTGAGCTGTTGGTGCAGAGCAACAGATTAGTGAGGAAGGTATCACGATTGCTTCCTTAGACGGCTCTTTAGGAGACTGTCGAACTATTAAATCTCCCTTTTAAATTAAAAAAAAAAATCCTTTTGCTACAGTTAATGTTACTTTTAAAGTTCGGATCTTATCTCTGGCTGTCATGATGTTTGCATTTCTGAGTTTTTATGTGAGGCTTTCTTAACCTCTGTACTCTGGGTATGTGTCTATGTAAAGCACGGTTAGGCGCAGTTCAAAAATAGCAAGACTCACTAAGAAAGGCAGACCTCATAAAGCCGCTCAGGTGTCGCCCCCCCCACCCCCACCCCTTTTGTTTTCGTCAGCCTCATTTTAATGAACCTTTTTGAGGATCTGCCAGCGTTGCTAGGAGATAAGAGAGGCTTGCATCAGCATGGCTGCTCATTTTTCCCTCTCACCTCCATTTACAGTCCCGCCCTCCTCTCCCTCACATCATCCCTTTCCTCCCCTGTCTGTCCCCAATCACCACTTTACACCCATCCCTCCCTCCCTCCCCCTCTCCCTCCCTCCCCCCTGTCTGTCTGTGTTAGAGGTGGTGATGAGTGGGTGAGCAGCAGGGAGGGAGGAGGGCACACAGTGATGTAATGCAGGAGCAGCTGACAAATCCCAACAAGCGAGAGAGAGAAGAGGGGGGGAAATGAGACAGAGGGTTGGAGAGGGAGGTTAGGGGAGGAGAGGCGTCTCCGGTGTAGCAGGAAACGGCAGCAGGCTGGAGGCTCGTGGCAGAGGGATGTTCGAGTCCTAATCAGAGGCGAGAGCAGAAGAGAGGTGCTGACAGAGGGCGCCGGCAAATGGATTATGAGAGAAAGAGGACATAAAGGAGGACGATAGCAGGAGGAAGGGACGAACAGAAGGAGGGAGGGGGAGCCTGGGAATAAATCGCCGCGGCCATTTGCACCACTGCAGCTCCCCGGCCTGAGCCGCTGCCTGTCTGACTGTTCAGCTTCAGCTTTCCGCCTGTCTGTTCTGAACCCGCTGTCTGTGGATCTTTGCCTGTTTTATCAGCTTCCTGTTTGTGTGTGTGTGTTTGTATGTTTCTGGGTGACCGTGTGTGTGTATGTCTTCTTCCCTTGCAAAAATGATGAGACAGACTCCTGCACCCCGGAAGGTACAGAACTCCATGTGATGCTCTTTTTCTGTTGGGTTTCTTGTGTTGATGTTATCATCCTTTTCGTTTTGTTGGCAGAGCTGTTGTAAAGGTCATGTGTCCTCATTTTGTTTAAGGTGGAATTGCCTTTTTCCCCATTTTTTTCCCCAGACCATTGATATTTAATATTCCCAGCATAAAAGTAAAAGTGTTTGCAGCTCAGCTGTGCTCTTTCTTTGACTTCTAAGTTTATTTTGCCCATGCTGTCGGTAGCTGTCCATGCTTCTACATGTGTTTGCAGTTGTTGAGTTGCCTTGTATCATATTTATTGTTTTATTTAGCCTCATCATACAGAAGCTATGTCTTACTCAAGACTATTCGTTGATTTCCATCACTGTTTGCAGATGTGGCAAACAGGCAGATGTGGTTTGAGTACAGTTTGTTCTGGCAACTATAGCACAACATGGTGGTTTAAGAGGACTGACAGATCTTAGGTGGTACAGCTATAAGCTTGGGCAAGTTTCTGTTGGATGGTAGTGCTTTAATCCAATAAAGAACAATAACGAGCCAAAGCCCAGATGGAGATGGATATTGATTGAGTGTACTGAGGGCAGATAGTGGAAGATAATTGGATGCAACAGATCATTTTACATGAATATGGTAGAAAGTATACAAGTGTCTGGTTAGGCTTGGGTTAAGTTTAAATCATCATCATAGACGTACTTTAATATGAAGTGATAGTCACAAGCAAAGATTAATATTGTTAACTGTAGATTTATTGTAGCAGTGCCTGAATGCTTCAGAATTTTCTGGTATCGTCAAAGATTGTTTCCTCTGTAATTTAACACTAATTACAGGTAACAGAGACAATGGTTAATTGGTACATTTGTAATATATTAGAAATCTTTTCCATGTGCAAATCTAGACTTACTAGTCGCAAGACTTACTTCCAGGATCTTTAAAGAAAATAATTTGAACTTTAGTATGTTGTAGAAAAACAGACTATGATTTTAATCTGCTGAATAGCGACTCAGTTTCTCAGTTTCATGCCGCTGGAAAATAATTAGGTCATGTAACCTGGGCCTAGAGATCAGTCTATGAAGCCCTGATAACCTTTGGTTAGTTGGGGAAAAATTTATTTCTACCAGTCGAATGTTGGAGGTTTTTTGCTGTTAGTAGGTGAAGTTGGGTTACAGTGCTGTACCGAGCACCTCCTTGCAGACTTATGAAAGATGCCAGCTTGTCTGCATATACTCCCCAAATACTTGCTAAGCAGTCGTAAAACTGCAGAGTGTAACACAAACCATAAATGGAGACCACCAAAGTAAAAGTTTTAAAATGTATTGCTTTCAATCTCTTATTTTGGAGGCATTCCCAGTTTGCATAAGTTTTACTACTGGTAGTGGTTAGATGGCAAGTGTTTGCAGACAAGTTGGTATCTTCCATGAAAACTGTAGTCGGCCGTGGTAGTCTGCTACCAAAATCAATCACAAGGGCATTTGTGTTGCCGCAACTTTGCAACTGGTTTCAAAAACCACTCTCCAACCCACTGAGGAATACACATTCCTCACAGGGGATTGTTGGCTAGTCTATAGGCCTGGGTGACTGAAGACTTGTGGACAAGTTACCAGGGAATCTATAGTTTAACTGCATTTGTCATTGTCATCCTCGAGGTAGGAAATCAAAAATAGTGTAACCCATGTGTGTTATACAGTGCACAGTGTTTCTTTACAAGCTCAACTGCAAATCCTGTCATCCACCCTGCGGTGTAGCATGTCTGAAACACATGTTGTACCTGAATGCTGCTGTTACCTCAGCAGTATGAGTGTAGTTCGACATAGATGAAGCTAACTGAGATACAATGCGGTCATTGAGGTCACAGCGGCAGTACCAGTCAGTGTCTCTGTTGTTGCCAAGACTGTGGTCATATGGGTGGATGAGATGAGGCCCAGAGATGAGTTAAGACAATAAAGATCATTAGAGAAACAGAGCAGAGATCTGTGTAGATGTTATTATGATAGATGATAGTAATATAAGTAGGGGCGTCTTGTCAAGAAGAATACATTAACAGGGTTTCAACTGTGAGTGAAGCAGCAAATATTCAACAATGGCCTAAAGTCATATCAGCTTCATCCACTCATTCTTACTTTTTATTTTTTTGGAATCTTTCTTTACTATGACTTTGCCTTGAATTACTAACCCTGGTTGTTTGTTTCCTTCCCTTCCCTCCTCTCCTCTCCTCCTGCTGCCCTTTGACCTTTACCTGCTTCCTCTCCTCTTCTTCAGACCACGGCCAGAAGGCCAAAGGTGAGCCCAGTCTTCAACATCATCAGGGTTTCCACCTTTTGTCAGCCTGCGTTATTTGAACATGCGATTATTATTTTCACTTCACGAGGCAGATCAGATTTATGCACATAACTCGTAACACGAATCGTATTTTTGTTCAAAAGCATAAAAGATGGTCCACTTTAATCTTACAGATTTTACACTTTTTAAAACATCTTATGTTTATGTCAACACTACATTTATTCATCTAAAGTTTGCTTTATTTCTTATTGCTTTCCATCTGCTGCACACCTTTTTTCATATATTTTTAGCACTTCTCATTTAGTATTACATCGGTATTTGTTTTCTCTATTTTAAGGTCTTAATTGTGTCTGAGGTCACTATTGAGGTCTACTGAAGAAGGGCCCATTTGTATATTTCTTTGGGAAATTTACAACAGCTAATAAACAACTCAGTCAATTTTTAGATAAACTGAAATTCTCTTTTTCTGGTCTGAAGCTAACAAAACAATGAGCATGAATAATCAGATATCTGTTAATATACTGTATAGACATTTAATATTATACAGGTGTTCAGGTCTCAGCTAGCAGAATAAAAAAATGTAATGATAAATAATTTAACAATTATTTTGATGTAGGTGATTTTATAGAGAAGCTAAATCCAGCCCCAAAGTTGAGTTAAATTAATAAGAGCACAGTGCAAAAGTGGTGAACTTTACCCAATGTCTTTACATTTCGCTTGGAAAGAGAAAGAGGTGCAGTGATTAATTAAATCATGCACAAACATGAAAGAAAATGCAGCATCTATGGCAGAGTTCGTACAATTTTAAAGACCGTGTTGTTATGACCATGTTTTATTCTTCAACATATTTATTTTATTGAGCTATACATTTTTTTTTGCAGTCTGTTAGTAACAATGTGCTTAATGGTGCAGTTTAAAAGTTGTCCTGTTTAATCGGGATCCTTGGAAAGAAAATATAAAGAAATGAGGGAAGACTTTTCCACAGCACTGTAACTCAGTCAGATGCAGCTATTAACATTTCTCATGGTGCTTCTTCTCATGTTGCTTGTAGACACCACATCCTGAATCACAGCTGTCAAGCCAAAAAAACCCCAACTACAATAATTAAATGCAGTCAGCTTGCAGAGGGACACCTTTTTTGGCCTCATCCACACAAATGATTTACTCTTAGCTGCTTTTTGCAAAGTGTTTCTCTCTTTAAAAAAAAAGAAATGTAATTCTTGTTGTTGATTGGACTTTTTTCTCGATTCCTTCAGCAGCCCAGCCGACCTGCAGGAGGGAAGGGGGCCGCGTCTGGCTCGGCTTCAGCCTCTGCTGGGGAGATGAGCAGCAGCGAGCCCAGCACGCCGGCACAGACCCCCCTGGCTGCTCCGGTCATCCCCACCCTCCACTCCCCTGGAAACCCTCCAGCTCCCATCCCCAGCAAGGTCAGTGTGTGTCTGGATCAGAAGTTCTATTCACCCTGCGTTGGACAGATCTGATGTGTTTTACTGTTTATCTATACATTTTTCTTTTCTTTGAATGCTTATTGACCCATTATGAAGGAAGCTTCTGTGGCAGCACTTAGTCCACAACAAGTATTTATGCGAATGAGCAAAGCCTGCTTAAAAAGGCACTACCCATAGTCACATTAATTCATTCATACATTTTGTTTAGCAGGATTTAATGTACCACCACAGTCAGTGGACTCTGAGTATAACCCACACAAGCCCAGCGAAGGAGTAAAATCAGATGTGACAACGTTGTCAGTATCTCTCCTCTAAATTTAAGTGTATTTTTTGACCCAGCTGTCACTTTGTGTTGACATCATCCAGCAGAGTCAGAACGAGAGCCGAAGGCCTGAAACGCTTTTTAGGCAACGTGACAGAATTTACCTTTGTTTTTGTGAATTATCTGCCTGTTAATGTGCTGATAACAAATCAACACCAAGATTTTATCTGTGTCTCTCGTTTTCTTTTGCATATTAAGTTGTATTTAAACATCAGAGATTATCACATCAACCTTTTGTAAAAATCGCCTTCTGAGTGTGTTGTTTTTTTTTTGTTTTTTTTTTTTAATGAAATGTTAAAGTCGGAATAATCAGTCTAATTGGTATTTTGTCCCCTCAGGAAGATGTCACTATGGAAACACAGGTGCAGCGAGGTGGTGTGATGTGATGTTTCTGCACTTGAAGTATTGAAGTGTTGTTCTGCTCTCACTAACGTTTTAATCAGCTGAGGCGTGGCTCCTTTTTTAACCTGTGTGTGTGCAGTGATTGTCTCTGCTGCACGTTTATCACAGGATTCAGAG